TGCGTCTCGCCAGAGTTGATTGTTCTCGAGTTTTGAGGTCGTCTTGAACGATCTCAATTGATGGACCTGCTCAACTGACGAAACTAAAATGAGTAGTCCTTGTGGAGGCTAATTATTCATAAAACGTTTTAATCTATTGTTTTTCCACACTTAAATCATTGTCTTGCTTTCATTTTCGTTTTAATGTTTAACTACCTCCTTTTTGTTTTTTCAGACGGATTTATCTTGCACCCTCTGGTGTTTCGGTGGTCTCCTAATCAGGTGGTTTTTCTCAGCCACCTGCTGCTGCGCCATAAGCACGCTTTCCGCTGATTTGCGTCTTTGTTGGATGTTGCGGCAGCTGTTTTTATTACACGCAAAGCGTACCAATCTTTTATACAAAGATGTATTTTCAGTTTGCCGAATAATCTCAGGAAAACCCCTGCTATTAAACCAAAACATTCGCTATTCGTCGTGTGGACGGCCTCGTATTCTTACTATTCCGAATGCATTAACCACCCTCAGGATTGTGTGTACGCCGGGCATTGTATATCTGATAATTCAAAGTGACTTAACGTATGCCGCTGCTATAACGGTTATTGCCGGTCTCACCGACGTCGTAAAGTTTGACTTATTTCCCTAAATATTTCACAGGCAGATGGCTATATAGCACGGCGATTCCCATCTCAACAGTCATTACTTGGTTCGTACATAGATCCTCTTGCAGACAAAATATTTGTCTCGTTCCTGTCGTTCGCTCTTGCCTATGCGGATCTTATGCCTTGTATGTTAAAATTATAATCATTACTTTTAGTGAGTCTATTCTTGCTATTCATGTCGCGTGACTTACTTCTGATGTTGGGCGCATCCTACCTTCGGTTTATTTCACAGAGACGGCCGGTTTGACGCCTTTATTTCCTTGACTCTGTTCAGCGACAACTTTCTAGATTCTTCGACCCTCATGTTCCAGTTATCGAGATGAAGCCTATTAACAGCAGTAAGGTAAGGCAATCGGAGTCTCTTAATAGTAGAGTAAGCCAGCAACCTGCCTAAAAGATGGCCTGTGTAGGTGTGACCGATTTTGCGCTTGCTCCATAATTTAAATTTTTTCTTCCATCGATCTCACATCGCTGTCCATTCGGAAACGGTGAACAGGTCAATTAAAAACCTAATAGACCACCGCCAAGGCCAGTTAAATAAGGGTATAATCATAACACTACTGATTAACTTCCCGAAGATGTCTGAGGGAATATGAGTTGTCACGCTAATTATTTTGGAAACAATCGTCAACGTGGCTCTTCGGAACTAATTCTCCATTTGTTTCAGTTGATGCTGCAAAGACTTGATGAAATTCTCCATTTCACCATCAAATTTGTGGTGCAATTACCATGTCAGTTCTGGGCAAGCTGACGTGTCCATTTGTGGTCGGTAATGTACCAGTCTTCGATGAAGATTTGTTGTAAATTTAGCAGACATTAATATGCATTTACTGGCTGTGTCACAGTAACGCGTGTTAATCGGTCTAAATCAACAGCCTAGTACATCAGAACTTGATCGAAGTCCTTCCTCAAGGCTTTAGAACATCTGGCCATAAACTCAACCGAATTACTGATCAACGGCTTGGTATGTCAGGAATACTTCTCATCGTAGCGGTTGATTAGTTTGCCGATTGTCTCTTATTTATATGGTCTACCGTCAAGGTTAGCCGTTCTAGTAGTTCCTGTGGTCAAGCTAATCTGAAGATGAGGGTGCAAATATTTTAGACTCCCATAACATTTCTGATTTGCTTTCTAAACTGGTAGCCACTACGCGTCGCTCATCATGTAAGATCGAACGTTTTGCAGTACTGATGTGGAGCGCTACTGCCTATCGGGGGCACCTGATGGCAACTATTCGTCTGCCATCGCAGTTGACTGAAGGGGCAAACTTCACCACTTGCAATACATTTGCTACCTCGTTGATTGTTAATCGAACTTCTAAAATATTTTTTATTAGAAAAAAGTACGTAAGGTCGAAATAGGGACCAATGTCCAGAATAGTCGTCAAATATTTAAGTTACGTCAGGATGCCAGCTTTTAAACAAACCACTTTTCGGCCACCTGCCAAAACTGCACTTAGTAAAATGACTGCTTAGGTAATAAAAATTCTTGCTCTTATTTTCATGTCCAAATAAATTAAACCGTATTTATAAAAACATGAATAAACGTTTTTTTCTTATACACATTTAGCAGCAACTTATATCGAGTTCGAATTGTGTACTTAAAACGTAATATTTTTCGATAAATAACTATTTAAATTTCTTAATTTTTGCGAACCCCAACTGCCTTCACGGGATTTTCAAACCCTAGGCTGGATATGTAAATAAACCTATATTTCTATGCATTATTGCGAAGACATTATATAGTGCTCCTAGAATTTTTCGATGAATGTGGAGCATGTTATATCCCTTACAATCTGCATTACTAGATGGGAAGAGAGTGCTTTGTGGATGGTAACTTCACGGTCTTAAAAGATTTCACAATTAGATTCCTTTTAAAACCATAAGATACTTTTTATTCAAGTGTAAATTCTGAAGAAGTAATTTGCTGCCAAATAAGTACAAAAAAACTTTTATTCACCTTTTTTATAAAATATAGTTGAATTCATAAGGGCATCTATAATCAATGGAAAAAATTGTCAGTACTCAAATAGTCATTTTTACAAAGGATACTCGTTCATAGTGACTGAAAAATTCGAGGTTTATTCTGCATGTTAATCAATACTGCGCCCCTACTTAATAATATTTTCTGCTAGTTAACTCGTTTGGGCCTTTTCGTTAACTCTATCTCAGAAATCACTCTCTAGTGTAGTGCCGCCGCGTTTTATGATTCAGCAGATGGGTTCAACATTTTCAAATTTTCGAACTTTTATTCCTGCTGCGAAGTCAAGAGTCGGGAAAGGGGGGAATCATTGCTTCAGCTCACGGGGGATAACCCGATGTCAGTTATCATGCATAAGCCATACCTCTCCAAAACAACCAGTTTCAAGGTTAGAAAGCACTTGATGATATCGGGACACGTCAAAATGAAGTCTTAATTTAGCAGGGCGAAGTACTGAGTACTCCCGTGCCACTGGAAAAAAATCAGGGGCTTGTCAAAACAAACACCCTAAGAGCTTTATTTGAGTGTGAATTCTGTCAAGAGAGTGTTTAGGGTCCGGTCTTTCACCAGGGCAAAAGGATTTATGTTTGCGGGCTTAGCTAACCCGGACTTGAATGGTCGGAAAGCATTTTTTTTAACTTAAGAAAATATTTCTACCATCGCATTCATCGAGTGTAACCACAATATTTCACACCCCGTTTAATATCAGATTAAAATGACCTTGTAAGATAAACTAGTTGGTCTCCCTCTAGAAGCGTGAAATGTTGAGGACTCAATAGGCTTATTTTGGGCTGATTTCATCTTCACCTCCATCGGGGAGATGACATACCATTTAGAGTATGTATATGATTCCCTGCCATAGGCAAGGGCTTACTGGAAGAGTACTCAGTACACGCAGATATTTGTGGCATTCTTGAAAAATCTTCGAAGGCTGACAATAGACCCTAGCAAAACTTAATGCCAGAATATGTGGAGTTTTCCCTTTCGAATCGAGCGTTCTTAAGTGCTTGGAGCACCCTCTTGTGACCGGCAATATAGTTTGATATTATTATCGTTCTTGGAGCCAATACATTAACTGACTCTGAAACTTTGTTCTTCCGAAACTACGTTTATATTCTATTTGTCTATATGCGTGAAAGTGCCGTGGGCCTAGTTTAGTCCAGTCAGTTCAACAGCGTGGTTGAATTGGATATCTAGTTGGATGAGGTATCCATGTCTATACTCCTTAAATTTGTGTTCCTGACAAGATCGCAGCCTCAGGTTGAGATGACCTTCCGGAGTAGCCGCTGGGTCCTCTCGTTTGAAGCTATCCCGTTTATCATACTGACTCATTGAAACATAGCTCACGGCAACCGCGGTAAGGAAACCTATTTGATGACTGCTCACGCCTGACCTACCATCCATCAACATGTCGCTCCCGAGTACCACCTCTGCTACTACTCCGCGAATACTTATTCGCCAGACTCCTGAGGACTGCCTATTTCTTAACTACCCTTTGTTGAAAGAAATTACAATATGCGCAACTAGTTGACCCACTGCGTAGCCAAGATTTTTCAAATTTATTCCACTTCCAAAGAGGGGTGCACCTGCACTAGTTAACCGCCGGTCCGTCAACGATGGACGAGGCAATGTCATTCTAGTCACGCATCACCGGCCATTGATTAACTTTTGTTTATTAGCACCCCTTCATATCCATTGTCTCACTTCTGTTATTTTACATTCGACTTTCCTCTCCATCTTCTTATTTTCCTTTCCTCCCGTAGCTCAACACTGCCACGCAGATAACCACCATATTCGCTAGCCTGTTGGCACCATTGTGTGGTTTTGCAGACTCGGTAGGACTCCCTGCTCTCTGGTAAGACCCACTTGGTGCTCTGTGGGATAAATTTCACTTACCGCACTGTAGGCTTCAAATTCTACATTGTCCTCTGGTATATTGGCCTTATTTCTACGCCGCTCATTTCATGTTGTAAGCAAAAAGTAGGCAACCATCGGATATGTGGGTGCACTCGGAGAACGGGAGAAAGAACCCCTGTACTGCGGGAATATTGTCAAAAGAGGGTTTTATGGTTGTAATAAAAAAAACTTACATACGCTTGTTTTCAGGAGGCAGTATTGCCGATCTTAACTGGTAAGACAACTAGTCTGTGGGTCACTGGTTAGGGCTTTGGACTTCTTATCAAAAGGTCACGGATTTGAGTCTCGGGTGGTGGATCACTTTAATATGACTGGCTGAAGATGGTTAATGAGCCAGAAACGGTCATTCCAATCTCTCTTTTCTTTGCCGGCAGTGCTATCTGCGTAAGGTACTAGCCGTTGTACGGCTGCTGGTGGGAGGTTCTAGAATGAGTCCCAAAGCAGAGTGGGACGAGTGACTTTTGTTAGCGATCTGTGAACTTTCATCAACAAAAGACAACAAGTTACATTTATGCCATTATCATATTTTATTTCACCATTAAGACGTAAAAACGATTGAAGATGTAATTGAAGTTTACGAGGTCTATAGCCTGATTGTTATGTCTAATCCTAGCCTCCAACTATAAAACTAATCTGTAAGCCTTCGCCAAACGCTAACCCTGATGCTACTACCTAAGGGATGCGTGACCGGGAGTGCGCAAACGGAAATTAAGCTTACGCAAATAACATAAGTAGATATTTATTTGAAGTAGAGACTAGGTGGGGCCGTATATCTGATCGTTCCCCAAAAACTGCTGTCAAACTTTAACCACTGCTTGTTGTGCTTGTTACATTTTTGCCAACCAGATCTCATCTGTTTCAGAGTGATGTGGAGGTTTAAGTATCGTCTTTCTTCCTATTTTCTCACCCAAATATTTATTAATGGCAGCTCTTTAGATCAAGTATATAGTATACGGCGGTATTTCAAGTAAATCAGTATAATATTTTGGTAGCTTCCACTGCCCTCCTCTGTTGATCTTGGGATGATTATTTTTCAACGGTTGCTTTCAATTAATCTGCATTCCAGTGTTTTTGTTTCGGCGTATGTACTTACTTCGTTTTTGTGGGACCAAGTTCCAATTTTTAACCTACGAGGCCTTGAAATGTGTTACCGAGAGGTACAAAGGACATTGTAATTGCGTATTTTGCCGTCAGTGGTGTCCAGAGTTAAGATCGAGTGAGCACCTTGCATCCTAACTCTTGGCAGTTGGCCGTCGCGCACCTGCTCTCGCTACTTTTTATGGAAACATGCCCGTGGGTTAGTTGTTGCATTTATGAGCGATGGCCTCAACTCCTGAGTAGTGGTATGACTATTCTCGGCATCTTTCGCGCGCCTGTGGTACATCAAACTAGTATTTGCTGTCAGCAAGCTTGGTCTGTTGGGTTGTGTTGTAACCGGTCAACACCGGTTGTATCCTTGGTTGATCTCACCTGCGTCTAGAGTGATCACATGCGTCACCACTGTTGTAACCTAGTGTGTTCCTGTGTCAACACCGGTTATGTTCCCCCAGTACGTGTTAGGAAGAAAAGACAGAATAGGATAACAGCTAGCGCCTTACTGTCAATTGCACTAGTACATCAACTCTGTTCCGTGTGTCCAGCAGCTTGCCTTCTGTTGTTGGTCTAGCTTCCGCAGCAGTCTCGGGTCGTCGGCAGCGTGTCCCACAGCAGAGTTCCCGCTCTGCTAGCGCCTCGCTATTTAAGGGGCAGTCGTCATTGCTCCCCATTGGCTCTCCATTGTCATCGTGCGCACGCTCGCTTACGCAGGTCTGGCATCTGCCCTCAGCGTGACCTCACTGATAGCAGCACCTTGGCTCCGGGCAGTCTCGCTCGCTCATGCCTTCTTTGTCCTAGCCTAATGTCCGCCC